CTCTTACCCTCATCACAGCTCAATGAGGGATCTTAAACTGAGAAGGAATACCTGAACTCAGCCATAGGTTTTGAGGCTACACGATCCTGATCTCTTGAGTCTCCCACGATTTTGACATTAAGTTCTGCTGGCTCCGCAGGTCTGAATTTGTATAAATAAGGACAGGTTCTTTTGAAAACAAGCCGGTACTCTCTCTCTCTTCCCATTTGGTGTCTTAAAAAAACCCCAAATGGAATCTTTTGAACACGTGGTCTGAAGAGAAGCTTGCAAGAGTCAATTTGTATGCATAATTTAACACCCAACAATTGCAGATACCGTTTCGACGCTAAATCTTCATTTACAGTGTGCTCTCGCTGCTGGCTCACAGAAGGGAAAACTAAAACTGGGAGAAGTTATTTTCTTTTGCCTTCTGACAATCCAATTCTTCCATGACCTGGATGATCGGGTGGGAAGGAAAGAGCTTTCCTGACCATGCATATATGATTTTATATGTGCCCCAGACTAGTTACCTCCCACCTCGTCATAGAATCATAGAGCTGGAAGAGACCTCGCGGGCCATCCAATCCAACCCCATTCTGCCAAGAAGCAGGAAAATCGCATTCAAAGCACCCCAACAGATGGCCATCCAGCCTCTGCTTAAAAGCCTCCAAAGAAGGAGCCCCCACCATACTCTGAGGCAGAGAGTTCCACTGCTGAACAGCTCTCCTTACAGTCAGGAAGTTCTCCTCATGTTCAGATGGAATCTCCTTTCCTGAAGTTTGAAGCCATTGTTCTGCCTCCTAGTTTCCAAGGCAGCAGAAAACAAGCCTCCTCCCTCCTCCCTATGACTTCCCCTCACATCTTGGTCCATGGCCCTCATCATGTCTCCTCTCAACCTTCTCTTCTGCATGCTAAACATGCCCAGTTCTTTCAACCACTCCTCACAGGGCTTGTTCTCCAGACCCTTGATTCTTTGAGTAGCCCTCCTCTAGACACATTCCAGCTTGTCCACATCTCCCTCCAATTGTGGTGTCCAGAATTGGACACAGTGTGATTCCAGTGGTCTGACCAAGGCAGAATAGAGATTTAGCATGACTTTCCTGGATCTAGGCACTAGACTCTATGCAGGCCAAAATTTCATTGGCTTTTTAAGTCGTCATATGACATTGTTGGCTCATGTTTAACTTGTTGTCCAAAGGACTCCAAGATCTTTTTCACATGTACTTCTGTCTAGAAAGGCAAATGTGGTGAGACATATGATGACCCAAGAACTTTGTGTAATATTAGACTAGCCCAGAGTCCTGCTCGCTTCCTATCTTTCAAAAGGGAAACTTGGAAAACTTGTGTAAGTTCAGGCTGGATGTGAAAATTTGGCAACTCCATCCATGTTGAACCACACAGATTTCATAATGTCAATGACATATTGAATCCTGTCCCTGCTTCACATACACACTGAGGTTCTGAGAAGAATTATTTTTTTATTTATTACCATATTTATATACCGTCTTTCTTAGCCTGAAGGCGACTCAAGAAAGCCTTGAAACTCCTATCATTAAGAGGGAGAGATAGCAAAAGTTCTGACAAGGTTTGCTGATCCATGCAATATAAGACTTAACCGCTAGAACAATGGTTTCCAACCTTTTTTGACCTGGGACCACTCTCCAACACTAGTGCCAAAACGATTATGAATCAAGTTTGTGGTCAGCTTTAGATTAGGTTTGGTTATTTGGGGTGCTGATTCAGAAAAATTGCATTGCATAAACCACATCAGCTCTCGTTTGTGATACAGAACATATGCCACCCAGTAGTCGTCATCTGCGCAGAAAACCATATTTAGCAATCTAGAGCTGATGTGGTAGTAGTAAACTTTTGTGGGTAGTCAGCCTCTCCCCTCCCGACATCGTTGCTTCGGCACTATAAGGGGGTTTTGCAAGACCAGTCACTCTTGTTGCCACGTGCTTTCGAGGCAATGGTGTAGCAGTAGTGAGGCCGTCGTGGACCATATTTTCGTTCTTGTGGATCACTGGTGGTCCACGGACCACAGGTTGAGAACCACTGCGCTAGAAGGATACGGAAACCGTCTGGTATTTATTTCCAAACTCTTGGCCACATTTCTCTCCTTAATCATCCCTACCAACGACTCTCTTTCCAATCTCACACGAAAGTGAGGTATCTGTTTTGGCTGATGCTGGCAAGGAAAGCACCTGCTTTCTGAATGGCATTTGGAGGTGGCACATGTCAGCCTGAGTCAGCCTGTATCTCTTCTCTCTCTTTCTTCTGCTGGCAAAACATACAACCTCTTGTTCCAGATAGCTTTGTCTTAATATCCAGGAAGATTACTTGGCTGCAGCACTCGTTACAAGTGCAGGAGTTGGAGGGAAAGAGTGTCTTTCCCCCAGATTATCAGTTATTCATACTGGGGTTCAGAGGTTACTTGCGCAGACAGCATTTGCCACTCGTGGGGATTCTGTGACTTCCATGTTGCAGCAAGTGAGGGTCATTTCTTTAATGCAGAAGGTTGAGCTAGTTGGCAAGTTGTGGTGCCTGTTTGCAAGCAGAAAACCTCTGTTGGGTCTTTTCTGTTCAAGATACATCTTCAGAGGTGACTGTATTGATTCAACTTGGGTCACAGTCACATTATAGAACTTTAGCACTATTATTCCTCTTCCAACTGCTTTGGAAGAGAGATATTGTCAAGAGAGATATTGACAAGCTGGAATGTGTCCAGAGGAGGGCGACTAAAAGGATAAAGGGTCTGGAGAACAAGCCCTATGAGGAGCGGCTTAAGGAGCTGGGCATGTTTAGCCTGAAGAAGAGAAGGCCGAGAGGAGACATGATAGCCATATATAAATATGTGAGAGGAAGCCACAGGGAGAGGGAGCAAGCTTGTTTTCTGCTTCCTTGGAGACTAGGACGCGAAACAATGGCTTCAAACTACAAGAGAGGAGATTCCATCTGAACTTGAGGAAGAACTTCCTGACTGTGAGAGCCGTTCAGCCGTGGAACTCTCTGCCCCGGAGTATGGTGGAGGCTCCTTCTTTGGAAGCTTTTAAACAGAGGCTGGATGGCCATCTGTCAGGGGTGATTTGAATGCAATATTCCTGCTTCTTGACAGGGTGTTGGACTGGATGGCCCACGAAGTCTCTTCCAACTCTTTGATTCTATGATTCTATGTGGACTCCTGGGATTTGTAGTTTACTGAGAAACTGGAGAATTCAAACTGCAACTCCCAAGATTCTGTGGATTGAAACCATGGTAGTTAAAGTGGAATGATACCACTATAATTGCATTGCATGAAGGGTTCCATGGTCTTGACCAGAGCTTGGAAAGGCTGTATTTTTTGATTACAGCTTCCAGAATCCATCAAGGGCTGCAGGATCTAGGGCAGGGTTTTTCAAACCTTTTATACAGAGGGCCAGGTCACAGTCCCTCAAACTGTTGGAGGGCCGGATTATAATTTGAAAAAAACATGAATGAATTCCTATGCACACTGCACATACCGTATCTTATTTGTAGTGTAAAAAACACCTAGAAACAATACAATAATTAATATGAAGAACAATTTTAACAAATATAAATTTATTAGTATTTCAAAGGGAAGTGTGGGCCTGCTTTTGGCTGATGAGAAAGGATTGATGTTGTGTGCTTTCAAGTCATTTCAGACTTAGGTTGACCCTGAGCCGGGTAAATGACCTTGGAGGGCTGTATCTGGCCCCCGGGCCATAGTTTGAGGACCCCTGATCTAGGGGATCCTGGACATGTTGTGCAATTTAAAAAAAAACAATTCCAAACTCTGATTCCAGCTAAAGGCTCACATTTTTTGCCACATGGATATTTGGATGCATGGAAGTACATTGGACTAGATAGTTCTTGTGGTCTTTTCCCATCCCGTGATTCCATATTCCTGAGAAGCCCATGTAATGAAGTGTGTATGTGTATGTGTAATGCGATACAATATAATATTCAAAAGCCGTTTTGGATTGCAACGCCCAGAATCCCCCAGTTACTGTCTATTTCCACTACAGCTCTATCCAATGTGTAGTGCGGCCCTCAAACTAAGGCCTGAGGGCCGGATACGGCCCTCCAAGGTCATTTACCCGGCCCTTGCTCAGGGTCAACCTAAGTCTGAAATGACTTGAAAGCACATAACAACAACAACAGTCTTATCTCATCAGGCAAAAGTAGGCCCACACTTTCCATTGAAATACTAATAAGTTCATATTCGTTAAAATTGTTCTTCATTTTAATTATTGTATTGTTTTAAAGTGTTTTTTGCACTACAAAAAAGATATGTGTAGCGTTCATAGGAATTTGTTCATTGTTTTCAAATTATAATCCGGCCCTCCAATAGTTTGAAGGACTGTGACCTGGCTCTCTGTTTAAAAGGTTTGAGGACCCCTGGTGTAGTGTGTCCCAAGAGGGCACTGAACCTCATGTAAGTTGTGACCTGCTCTTTCCTGGCTGTCTTCACCTTAACCGGCTGCACCAAGAGGGGCTTTCCTCGGGATCAGCACAAATATAGAACTCAACTATGAAATATAGTTATGTCAGCAGACAGTCCCCATTTTTGCAATGGGAACACATTGGGCAATTTTGGAAAACATTATATACTGTCTGTGGTCTAGAAGAGGAAGGCTCCAACTTGGGCCTTTGAAGGACTGCAACCCAGTGTTGTGTCAAAGGAGCCCACTCTGTCCTCAGACCTTCAGCAGCTGGTCCAGAAAATTGCATTTCTTTCCAAAGGGGAGCTGAGAATTGCAGAATTAGTAAGGCATTGGGTCCAGGTTCCATGCCCTAGCCGAAGAAGGCCTTTCATTTCAAGAGTAAAGCGATAATCATATGAGTCCAAATGAAGAGGACTTGGCAGACCTCTCTTTTCGATGCCAAAACTGGTTGGTTTGTGTTTGCCTTGGATCTCTTCCTGCCTCCAGGGAGTCCAAGCAGAACCACCATATGACCAGTATGTGTATTTTGGGTCAGTGTTCCAAGCCCTAACCTTTTCCCTCTTTTCTCTCTTGCAGACTTTCACAGCGTGGTGCAATTCCCACCTGCGGAAAGCCGGCACACAGATTGAGAACATTGACGAAGATTTCCGCGATGGCCTCAAGCTCATGTTACTCCTCGAGGTGATTTCAGGTGAGGTTTGGTTTTGGGGGAAAATCTTTCAAGGCTGTTTTTTCTTGTCAAGAGTGTTCTGGTTTGGGAACAACTGTCACATTGTATAAATGGCATGATGTGGCATGTGGAGGATTACTAGCAGCGCCACACCTTCCTAATCCTTGTGGTCAGAAGAATTCCCATCTCCTTTAATAAACCTCTCCAGAGACTTGGCAGAGAACCATATTTTCCCTTCCCCTGTATTATTGGATTGCAGTTCTTGAAAACATAGCCAATTGGAATTGCAGCCCAAAACCATTTTGATAGCCGCATCATTTCCCACCTCTCCTCTTGGATCAGATAAAATTGTCATTCCAATTTGCAGACTTGCTACACCTAAGTTGTAGTGAAAGGCAAACCAATGTTGTCTTCTGTTGAACCTAACCCTCTCCCTTCTCTTGACCTGTTTCAGGAGAACGGTTACCAAAACCGGAGAGAGGAAAGATGAGGGTGCACAAGATCAACAACGTCAACAAAGCCCTCGATTTTATCGCAAGCAAAGGAGTCAAGCTGGTTTCCATAGGAGCTGAAGGTAAGCGAGCCAGCATGGGAGCAGGAACTGTTCTTTGGCCAGGGAGAATTATGCTCATTTTAAACTAAGTGTGAAACCATTCTATGAATTGTAAGCCCATAGGGCAGTGGTTCTCAACCTGGGGTCCCCAGATGTTTTTGACCTTCAACTCCCAGACGTCCTAACAGCTGGTAAACTGGCTGGGATTTCTGGGAGTTGTAGGCCAAAAACATCTGGGGACCCCAGGTTGAGAACCACTGCCCTAGGGGGTTCATAAAATCTGTTTGCACCTAGGTAAGTAATACAATAATGTATACTGTTGCCCTTGATCCCTTCATCTCAGGGATGGCAACTGTGTGAGAGTCAAGGACCAGTCCCTTTGACCCCAACACTACCAGCCCAAATGCATCAATTTTTCTCTACGGTCAAAACCGTGACATCTGGTCACTTCATATCACCATTTCGAGAGTTGCTTGTTGGGTGAGTGGACTTATCAACAAAAGACCCTCCCCATAAACATATAGTAGAGTACCTTATTACCAGCACCAGTAGCCCAAAGTGATAAAAAGAACAAAAACACACAAAAAGTATTATCTTCCATAGGAGGCTTTTCTTTGTAGTAAAATTATATGGTTGCACTATTTACAAGAACAAGGTTTCCATGACACAAATAAAATTCTTTATACTTCCTTCTTTGCTTCCATGCTGGGCTTCTTCTTCATGTGTATAAATGGCTTCGCTCTCACAGAACCTCCTCTCACACGGAACTTACACTGGAGCTTCACTCAGTAGTTTTTTACACACAGACTTTATACTGGAGCCTTTACATGGGAGCTTTCCACATGAGGCCTTCAACCTGGGGCTTCTCTCACTAAAGCTTCTCACACTAGGCCTTCTCATAGTCTTAAGGCCTACCTCACACTGTGAGGCCTACCTCACACAGAGGCTTCTCTCACAGACTAAGGCCTACCTCACACTGTGAGGCCTTGTCACAGACTAAGACACACAGAGGCCTACTTATCTACAGGCACACCTGCTTATATAGAACTGCAGCTTTTGCTGAGTGATTACATCAATTTAACTCTTTCAGTGCTTGACTCATTGTTGTTCATTCGTTCAGTCATTTCTAACTCTTCGTGACTTCATGGACCAGCCCACGCCAGAGCTCCCTGTCCGCCGTCACCACCCCCAGCTCCTTCAAGGTCAATCCAGTCACTTCAAGGATCCCATCCATCCATCTTGCCCTTGGTCGGCCCCTCTTCCTTTTTCCTTCCTTTCCCACCAGCATTATTGTCTTCTCTAAACTTTCCTTTCTTCTCATGATGTGGCCAAAGTACTTCATCTTGGCCTTGTAATATTACTGACATTACTGTTGATGAAAATTGATGTATTTGAGATCAGAATGTGATTCTGGGGTGCTTTTGTATATTTTCCCACATTTGGGAGGCTTTCTCTATTGCTTTAGGACCAAAGAAAGTGCCTTTTATTAAAAGGGTAAGTGCCATGGCTTCAGAAGCCATAAAAGTTGAGGACAGAGGTCAGTGGGGCACAATTCCACTCTGGTCTAACCTAAATTTGGACTAATGAGGCCTCTCCAGTGACGCAGCAAGCCTTTATCCATGCCGTTAGTTGAGGACTGAACTTGGCATGTCCTGCCATGGCTCAGCAGGAGTTTGTTGGGTACTCCACCCTTTCTGACCTTGGATAAGGAAGAGATCTGAAATCTACTAGAGAAGTAAGGATTTAGGACTACAGAACAGTGCTGTGGGTGTGGAGGAGTTGTGCTTTTATTATTTTGTGGAAGCTATAGCTTGGGAATTTTCCTGGATTTGTAGAACAGGACAGAAACAGAGTCAGCCATACATTGTCAGATAAACTCAACATGTTCTACCCACGGGAACAACAGCCTCTCCCATGTTACGAGAGAAGGGAGGGCTGGGTGTAGAGGACACGTAAGGAACCGGATCTGCACGGAGGAAATGGAAAAGGTGCAGTAGGTGAAGTGTGTGGCAGGGCCTATCTATAACCCCACCCACAAAGGAGGAACTCGTGGGCAGAGCTTTAAAAAGTTACCTGCTCTTTAAACTTTGATCTCCTAGATTGCCCCAGCCAGCATGGCCAATATATAGTCTTGAAATTGCTACGGCTCTGGTTTTGCGGTAGCATTTATCCCAGAATTATATTTCTAACCTGCCAAACTTGGAAATGTATTTATATTTAGTTATATCCTTGTGGGAAGTTCAGTGTATTATATTTGGGCTTAGAATGGGCCTAGGCTTAGTTAAGTCATCCTGCAAACTCTCTTTCCCCAAAATTAGGTTGAAAAGAAACCAAATTCTTTGAAATTGAAAATGAAGATGCCTATTGAAATTGTAGGATTCATAGGAGTCATCGGAAAATGTTTTCTTTGTCCTCAATTGGTCAGGAAACCCTCGGGCAGGTCCAAACTCAGAGTAGGAGAATAGGGCTCCCATAAATAAGTCAGTGTTGACGTGAAGGTTCACAACAACAACTCGAAATGAATAAATTCATCACCCACAAGAAGCATTTTCAGGTTGCCGAATTCATCCTGAATTCAATTTATTCAGATTATTGGATCCATTCTGGATCCCGAATAGCCACTTTATGCTGGCTGCCGCATTGATTCCTCTGTTCAGCATACACCATCTCTCAGCAGTATAGCTCCAGTTCCTGCTGCCTGAGGGTGATGAATTGTTTGATTTATTCCGAGTTGTAGTCTAGCCCGTTCCATAGGTCACCGGTCTGGGCAAAACATGGGTAAAGCATGCGAATGCAAGTTGTTGTGGCTCAGGGCCTTAGGCCAAATATTCTACAAATGCAGTGATATCACCTCTTCCAATAATGACATCTCTGCTGTGTGGGGAAAGCTCCATTTTCCAGGGCAACCATAGAATCATTTGTGTTTCCTCACCGCTGGCTATTGGAGCGGACTGAACGCTCTTGGCGCACTCAGACACATTTACCTCTATTGTTACCAGTCTTCCGACCCAGTACTTGCTTTGAGTTGTTTCTGTGACTGGAATCCTTTGATCTTTGCCCGGTTTACATGCCGGCAGCAAATTTGTTACCCACTTTAAAGCAAGCAGACAAAAATCCTCACTCCTCCCACTCCAGATTCCGGCTTTTGAATTTTCTCAGCTCTGCATTTTCTGTGGATCAGCTCCCTGTTGTTTGCAATATGGTAGATGTCCTGCCATATTGGGGATCACAACCAGATACAGTGAAGACATCCGCCCTGGCACTTTGCTACTCTGCTGCTGAATACACATGTCCAGTGCGGAACACATCTCACCACACTAAAACAGTGGATGTGGCTCTTAATGAGACATGCTGCATTATCACAGAATGCCCGCATCCTACACCACTGGAGAAATTGCACAGTTTAGCTGGTATTGCACCACCTGACATCTGCCGGGAAGTAGCAGCCAACAATGAAAGGACCAAGGTAGTGACATCTCCGTCCCATCCCCTGTTCGGATCTCAGCCACTATGCCAGTGGCTTAAATCAAGCAATAGTTTTCTAAGATCAATAGAGACACTTGCTGGAGCACCTCAGCAAGCGAGAGTCCAAAAGTGGCAGGCTAAAACAGGGAACCTCAACCCATGGCTGATACCAAATGAGAGACTCCCTCCTGGGCACACAAAAGACTGGGCGACTTGGATGGCGCTGAATAGACAGCGCTCTGGCGCCACGAAATGCAGAGCCAACCTTAAATGAGGCCACAAAGTGGAGTCCATGACATGTGAGTGTGGAGAAGAGCAAACCACAGACCACCTATTACAATGCAACCTGAGCCCTGCCACATGCACATGGGAGGACCTTCTTATAGCAACATCAGAGGCATTCCACGTGGCCAGCTTCTGGTCAAAGGACATTTGACTTCTGTAGAGGACTGAGTCACTCTACAGAGGTTGAGAAGATCAGGATATAAAAGTTTTAAATAAATAATAAATAAAATAAATAATATAATGTCAAGTTTTTAAACTGTACCCTTGGTTCGCTCATGATGCGATAAATAAATTTAGGCCTGTTTGAGCAAGAAAAAATTTGTTTCTAAAATCGATTTGTAATTGGGGTGTTTTTTTGTTTCGATATTTAAAATAATTACAAAATTTTCCCCAAAAAAGTTTTGATATTTACGAAATTTTGTAAATATTTACAAAACATTTTGTAAAGATGGCGGACCCCCGCGCATGCGTAAAACAAGCTTCGTTATTCGTATAACTGCAAAGTTTCTTATCAATCCAGGATTCATTTCATCAGGGTTACTTGATAGTAAACATTCTTTTGCATTTTAGAATACTTTCACATGGCGCTGCAGGAATCCCCTCCCCGGACCCATCTCTTGACTAACTGCCCGATTCACAGAATGGTATTATACGTACACTGAGCTCATAGGGGACAGAGCCGGCGCTGCAGGATCCCCTCTCCGGCTCCTGCGCTCCGGCTCCGGCTCCTCCTCCTCCTCCTCCTCCTCCTCCTCCTGGCCCTTCCTGCAACACAGCTGCGGAGGCCGGTTGTCTCTTTAAGGCGCCTCTCTCTCCCAGCAACACAGCTGGGAGAGAGAGGTGCCTTAAAGAGACAACCGGCCTCCGCAGCTGTGTTGCAGGAAGTGCCAGGAGGAGGAGGAGGAGGAGGGCGCAGGAGGAGCGCAGGAGCCGGAGCGCAGGAGCCGGGGAGGGGATTCCTGCAGCGCCGGCTCTGTCTCCATGCGCGTACGTATAATACCATTCTGTGAATCGGGCAGTTAGTCAATCGGGAGCCGGTTGCGCTCGCGCCCAACAGGCAGGGTCGGGGCTTGGCTCACTGGGTGCGCGCTCGCGCCGCCCCTTCGCCCCGCCCGCCCGCCCCATTTACGAAACGGGCGAAAGCTCGTTAAAACTGTGGGGGTTGCCGTTTCGATATTTATAAACCCTTCCGGGTTTGGGAATATGTTTTGTTGTCGTTTCGTATATGCGAAAATTAACGAATGTTTAACGAATTAACGAATTAACGAACG